GCCTCAGCCCCATTAGCAGTCACTCCCCAGCCCCCTGGTCCTTGGCCCTTGGCGACCACTAATCTATTTTCTGCAGGACTACTAATTGTGCCTACCACAAGAGGCTAAACAAAAATTCTCCCTTGAGAATTTGTCAGTACAGTTTGCCCCTGCAGCTCACAGTAAAATACAAAAAATCACTACACACAAACAAGAAAAGGCCCCAGGGGGTGCGATCTGGCAGAAACTGCACATAACCAAATTGGTCCCAAACCTTCAGTATTTGAATTCAAGATTAGCTTAATGGTAGAAAATGTATTAATCAAGAAAAAAAAAAAAAGAAAATGTATTAACCCAAATTTACCATGTTAACATATTAATGGGAAAATCCTATTATCTATCTCAGTAGATGAAAAATATTCAATTGAAGTCAACATCTATTCTTGGTAGTAAAAAACAAACTTTTAACAAACTAGGCATAGATGGGAGCATCCTTAACCTGATCTTTAAAAGTTATTTGTAAGGCACGTGAGTGGCTCAGTCGGTTAAGTGTCTGACTCTTGATTTCAGCTCAGGTCATGATTTCATGGTTCCCCTAGCCTGCTTGGGGTTCTCTCTGCCCCTCCCCTACTTGAGCTCTCTCCCTCTCTCTCTGACTCTCAAAATAAATAAAACAGCCATTTAAAAAATCTTCCATTAAAAAAAGTTATTGGTAAAAAATCTACAAGAAATATACTTAGTGGTAAAAAGCTAAATGCGTTTCCTTTAAGATTTTGTATTGCAAGTCGTATCCAGCAGAGTCAGGTAAAAATAAAAGTATAAAAGCTATAAAGATTGGAAAAGAAGAAACAAAATTATCACCGTCTGCAGATATTTTATTGTCTTTGTAAAATATTTAAAAATCTATCAATAAATTATTAAAATTAATAAGTGGTATTAGTAAGGTTGCTGGCTACAGTCATTACACAGAAATCAATCACACTTCTATACACCAACAACACACAGAAAATATAATTTGCTCCGCGTCGGGCTCTGCGCTGACAGCGTGGAGCCTGCTTAGGATTCTCTCTCTCCTTCTCTCTACCCTTCTCCCACCTGCTCCCTATTTCCCCTCTCTCTCTAAATAAATATTCAAAAAAGAAAATATAATTTTAAGAAATGCCATTCAGTGTGACATGTAAAATGAAAAATACCTAGGAATAAATGTAACTGTATATCGTGTAGCCAGAATTACAAGAGTCTATTGGAATCCATTAAAGAAGAGCTACAAAATGGAGAGCTGAGTCATATTCACGGTTTGGAAGGTTCCGTCGGCCTATAGATCCAATGCAGTTCCAAGACCCTAACAGGTAGAGCCGTAGGGAAAGTGCAGACTAGCACTAGGTAGTACTGGGCATATCGGGGATGCATATTATCAGAATGAAAACTGCGACTTGTTAGACGTGAAAACTAACACTTTATCCAAAATACCGCAGTCAGAAGAACTTCAGAGAGGGTGACTCCTCCAGCAAAATTTAGTTAGAGTTTTGATGGAGGCTCAGGGTGGAAAAGTACCCCCGACCGAGTCAGCTGACTCAGAGAAAAGCCGGCCTCACAGGCTTTCCTGGGCGGCCGGTTCCGGTTCAGGGGTGCTCAGTGCTCAGAATCTGGGTCTGCTCCTTGGAATTTATTGCTTCTTGGAATTTATTGCAGGTATCTGCTTCTCTCAATTCCGAGAACTGCCTTTAGGCACCGAAATTCAGTTCAAGGTTCAAGAGTGGAAAAGTATAGCTTCTCACAATAGTAAGAAAATAAAATTGAACTCGGTCTCACACCCTACGAAAATTAATTGGAGTAGTTTAAGGACTTAAATGTGAAAGGCAAACGTGCAAAACTTTTGGAATGCAGGAGACTTCCTTTATGACATGGGGATAGAAAAGGATTTCTTAGAAGAAAGTGATGGGCGAATTTGTCTACCTTCAAGCAAATACATCCTCTTGAAAATGCGTCCTAGCAAGAGTGAAAATCGAATCTTCTAGCTGGGAGAAGGCATTTTCACTTCAATCACATTCAAAACAATGGTATACAGAATATATCAAGAATTCCTACAGATGGGTAAACAACACTACAAATGAGAAAAATGGGCAAAATTCACTAACAGGAATTTCATATGAGAGAAAGACGAATGATCCATAAAGACAGGGAAAGGGCTTCAGCCTCATCGGTTATCAGGGAAATGCAGGGTAAGAGCACAAGATGATCCAACCTCTCATCTACCCGGGTAGAAGACTCCTGATATTCCATGTGCTGAAGCATGTGGGATCATGGGAACATTATACTCCCACTAACGCTGGCAGGAAGTGTAAATCCGTGCAATCACTCTGGGAAGCTGGCATTGATGATGCAGCATGCACTTACCCTTTGACCCAGCAAGTCAATCACAGGCTGTATTCCGTAGAGACACTCTTGTCCATGCGCACTATGAGACATGCTCTTCTAGAAGCTTTGTCGAGAAGAGAAAACGAACCCCAGAAACAGTAGAAATGTCCTTCTACAGTTGATGGGCTAAGTGAGTCCAGCTCTTCTCAGGCAATAGGCCATTCGACAGGACAGGTGCAAATCTTAGTCACGTCTATATGCATCGACGTGGCAGAATCTCAGAACATAAAGCAAGTAAACAGAGAAATCCCCTGAAGAGTACATACAGTTTGAAAGCAGGTGAGGCTGTGGGATTAGAAGACAGGACAGGGCTTGCCCTGGGGGCGAGGAGGGGCCAACGGGGAGGGGAACGCCAAATCTGTTCACTTGGCCCTCTGGTCCCCTGTTAGCCTCTAGCACAGCCTTTTGGTTTCATCAGCAGCCTCTGTAACCGAGCTCACCTTGGCCTGCGGGGTGGCCTGTGGCTGACGGCTCCCTAGATCTCACCTCAGTATCAAGTCAAATACCACTTCAGTCTTTCTTTTCGTGCGGGAAATTCCTAACTTGCAGCAGGTTTCCCTTCACTCGCTGGGGTCAGAAGCCTGGGAGGCCCCGTGGGAGCCTCCCTCTCTCCCGCACTTCATTTGACTTGGAATCAAATCCTGCCCGATTCTCCCCTCGCGACCTCTCCAGCATCTGACACTTTGCGCAACTCCGCTGCTCCCCACCCGGGTCCAAGTGAAGTCATCTCTCACCTGACTGGTCTCCCTGCTCCTGTCTTTGGCCCCCTATATTCTCAACATGGCAGCTGACATGACGCTATAAAACGTCTATCAAATTATATCCCTTCTCTGCTCCAAACCTTCTGTTGGCTCCCCTATCACCCCAGGATCCTTCCAACGGCCCACAAGGACCTACTTTGCCCTCACTTGCTCTGGTTTCTTTGCTGCTTTCGAATGCAGAGGGGGTACTCTTGACTCAGCATGTGTACCCTCTTGCGCCTTGTGCCTGGAACATGTCTTGTTGGAGGTTCACCAATTTGTCGGAGTGATCTGGATCCCTCCACCAGCACAGGGCTCCACAAGAGCTGGGATTAGTGTCTGTTTTGTTACCTGCCCAGAACAGTGCCTGAGTCACAGTATGTGTTCAGTAAGTATCCACCGAATGAATGATTTCAAACTCAGAACAGCAAAGGGGAAAAGCAAATTAATAATTTGTACAACTATTACCAGCATTACATTTATAATAGTATCATATTATAATATATATTACAATAGTAAACAAGTAGAAACACCCTAAATGGTTACATGACTTATGTCATATCCATGGCAAGGAGTACTATGCGACACTTAAAATTGTATAGACATATATTTACCGACACTATGTGAAAAAAACCAGGTTGTGACTGTGTGCACACGCATCCATTTCTCAAAGAGTGCAGATCAATCCATAAAAACAAATCCCATGTTCAAATTTGTTTGGGAAATACCGCACATCATACCCTCTGGTGGAGAGTCATGTTAGCCTTTCAAAAGGCCTTTGGAAGTGCTGGAGCAAAGAAACACTCTTACGGGCACCTGGCTGGCTCAGTCGGTGGAGTGCGTCACTCTTGATCTCGGGGTTGTGAGTTTGAGCCTCATGTTGGCTGCAGAGATTGCTTCAAAATAAAATCTTAAAAAAGCATACTTAAATATGTTTAATCTGGCACCTCTCAAACTTCGTTGGCCATTGATTGAGCCCTCCTAGCTCATAACATTTATTAAAACAGAACTGTTGTTTCACAGGAAAGATTTTGGGAGGGGTGCCCGAGTGGCTCAGTCGGCTAAATGTCTCTGGCTCTTGGTTTCAGCTCAGGTCATGATCTCACTGTATACGTGGGTTACAGTCCCGTGTCGGGCTCTGTGCTGACAGTACAGAGCCTGCTTCGGATTCTCTCTCTCTCTCTTTCTGCCCCTCCTCTGCTTGCTTTCTCTCAAAAATAAATAAATAAACTTAAATTGTGTGACATGATGGATATCCTTCTTTAAAAAAAAAAGGGCGGGGAGGGCTGGGTGGCTCAGTCGGTTGGGCGTCTGGCTTCGGCTCAGGTCATGATCTCACGGTCCATGAGTTCGAGCCCTGCATCGGGCTCTGTGCTGACAGCTCAGAGCCTGGAGCCTGCTTCAGACTCTGTGTCTCCCTCTCTCTCTCTGCCCAGATTGCTCTAGCAATCTGTCTCTCTGTCTCTCTCAAAAATAAATAATAAACGTTAAGAAAATAATAAAATAAAAGATTTTGGAAAACTGGTAATACAAGCATAGAAAAAAGTTTGAAAGGAGATGTGCCAAGATGTTAACAATATTTATTTCTGGGTCACTGGCATTACGGGTACTTTTTCTTCTTATTTTAGGAAATTTTCTTTGTAATAAAATATGTATTACTTTTATAATCAAAACGGCAATAAGGCTATTCCCATTTTTCAATCGCATGTTTTAAAGGAGAAAATGAAGGCAAAGGTAAACATGGAAGACAATTTAATTTTAACCAACAGGTACCTCCTTACTGTAAGCAAATAGCACACTCTGCACTCCCTCAGAATCCAGCAAGCCAAACACCACAGTTGTCCAACTGAACTTTCTAGTGCTTCATTGGACTGGTTCACCTACAAGAATACTGGGAAAAGAAGAGAAACTGATGAAAGAGGTTTGAATTCCCGGTCTGCACAGAGTTACTTTGTAATTACATTACCTTTTCCAAAATATGATTTTTAAAGTTTTTATTTATTTATTTTGAGAGAGAGAGAGAGAGAGAGTAGGGAAAGGGTAGAGAGAGAAGGAGAGACAGAGAGAATCCCAAGTAGGCTTCACCCTGTCAGCACAGAGCCCGATGTGGGGCTCAAACTTACAAACCTCGAGGTCATGACCTGAGCCCAAACCAAGAGTTGGAGGCTCAACCGACTAAGCTGCTGGACACCCCCCGGGATATGATTTTAGACAAAGCCTTCTTTTAATATGAACCACACGATTTCATTCAGACAAAATGCTTTGATGAATTGTGTAGTTGAGGTTGGAGGTAGATGTACAAGTATGGTCACGTGGCTTTTCTTCTTTTGGATGTATGTATGCACGAATTTCCACTGGGAAATCATTTTCACTCAAAAAGTAGAAACAGAACAGAGGTTCCACCTCTGGTTCTTTTTTTAAAAGATTGTGTTCTGAGGGAGTCTGGGGGCTCAGTCGGTTGAGTGTCCAACTCTTGATTTTGGCTTCGGTCATGATCCCAGGGTCATGGGGTCGAGCCTCACATCAGGCTCTGGGCTGAGTGTGGAGCCTGCTTAAGACTCTCTCTCTTTGTCATGGGGTCCCAGGGTGGCTCAGTCAGTTAAGTGTCCAACTTCGGTTCTGGTCATGATCTCACAGTTTCTGAGTTTGAGCCCCATGTCGGGCTGTGGGCTGACAGCTCAGAGCCTAGAACCTGTTTGGGATTCTCTCTTTCTGATCCTTTGCTGCTCATGGCATGTACACACACTCTCTATCTTTCAAAAAAAAAAAA